GATGTGAACTGATGTGACCAAGTAACCCGTTGTAAGCATTGTGACTATGTGTACTGTTGCAAGTGCTGTGACGAAGTGCACTGTTTTAAGTGCTGTGACGAAGTGCACTGTTTTAAGTGCTGCGACCAAGTGACGCGCTATTCGATTTTTCATCCCCTTTTATACGCTTCTTTCCTACCGGAACTTCTGCTGTTGTTGTTATTCATACGGTGTGTAGCTCAATTGAATTTATTGCATATAAAACAAAAACAAAAGTTTTGTGTATACAGCCAACGAAAAATAGTTAGTGTTGTCGATAAAATTTACACCTATGGAATGATTGATAATAGTAAGTTTATTGTTGTGACGCCTTCATTGTTTATTATATCAGTTACAGCATAAAAACAAAAAGAAGATCCAAAAAATTGTGCCTTATAAAACGGCAGAACGCTGCTGCTGTTTCTACCGTTCATATGTTCTATCCATCATTTGAACATAGCTTTTAATTGGCGACAGAGAAAAGCTCTACAGAGAAAAGCTCTACAGAGAAAAGCTCTAGTGCTTCTTTGCAGCGCTTATTTCACTGGTGAATTCTTATTGTACTCTTGCTGCGAGATTGAATATGGTGCAGCCGCAAGGGCAAGTTTTCAAAATTAGATTAGGTAATTGGAGTGCAATTAGACTACAAAAAGATTAATTTTCTAAATAATTTTTATAAGATACAAATAAATTAGTAATGGTCTCAATTTTTACTATGGACAAATCTATAAATTGTAAAAAACACATAAACAAGACTTACCATTATGTCTTAAGACTTTGTGTGTAAATGCGCCGTCACACATTTATTGAAAAATAAAACCAAATATTTGATCTACCACATTAAATATTCAATTATTTTCGTTTCCTAGTTATAAGATGTTCACAAAAACAAGATGAAGAGCTTATGATGATAACAGTGCAACACAAAACTATAAAAATAACATTGAAGTGATGTAAATACAAAAATCAAAACAAACCTTATTGGAAAATTTAACAATAGTAAACAAAAAAAAAACTAGCGGCATATGTTATATTACTATTAACTTCAACTTTTATATTTTTTAAAAATTATAATTTAATAACTTTTTATTAATATATTTTTGTTTGACTTCGGTTAAAGTGTATCTTATTAAATATTCAATACCTAAATTGAATTTTATATACTTGCTAGAAATTCAAACTTTCTTATTGGCGAAAGAAGATGGAAACAATGAAAATAATTTAGTAATACGGCGACAAATGGAAATCATATCATTACTATTGCTTTGTTTATGTTAAGTACTGATGCAGTTTGAATCATAGCTGATAATAAAAAATTGATTTGGTAATTGGAGAAAATGATCAATATATGAAAACATTGAATTAAAATATTATATCAATATTATGAATCGTGCGCGAAGCATTTTAGCTCAGTGTTTCAGACAAACCCCGAATTCGATGCAAAAGGCGATAAGGGGATCCTCAATTTCTTAGAGTCCATACGGACTCTTGTTTTCCATACGGAACATTTCTCTTACAGAAATAACCGATTAAATTAGGGAAATTGATGAGAAAAATTCGCCTGGGTCTGATAAAATTAAAGGAAATGTGATTAAAAATCTTGTATCATGTTATTAAGATTAATATACCATTCTATACTCAGATTAGATCTCTTTCCAAGCCAATGTAAATGCGCAGAGATCCAACTGATTTGATAGCTTTCTCCAAAGCGCTTGAAAAAATACTCTTGCGATGAGTCCTATTTTGAACGAGTTTAATATAATACTGGAACATCGTTCCAATCAATGCCGGCGTGCCACAAGAAAGTACAATAGAGGCCATCCTGAAAGCGATGGTTCTTATCCAACATCGATAGGTAGCGATGTTGATCATTGCAACAAGTGAAACATTATCAGGCGCCTCTCAATCTGTCTAAAAAGAATTGTGTTACTTATCGCCATGGCCAAAAAAATGGAAAATTAAAGTAAATCGAGACAAGTCTGTACATACGACATATGCGCTTCGGAGGGGAAATTGCCCGCCAGCGTTTTGAAACAATCACTTCAGTATCAAAGCTAAAAAATCTACTGGTTACTTGGACGAAATTTTCAACTCAGCTTAGAGAACAAAGTAAGAATCTACAAGGCCATTCTAAGACCGATATTGCAAACATTCCAGTCAATTATTTTACGAATGATTATAGATGGGCCTTGGTATGTGACAAATCAACTACACGAAGACTTATAGATTGGTTGGGAAGCGATGAAATAAAAAGGTTAAGTTTGAAGTTCACTTTAATTTACTTGCTTTGTCTCTGTTAGACAACAGTGAAACAATCAAATGACTGAAAAGAAATCATATTCTATATCTACCTTATAAAACCTGAGGAAATTTTAGAAATTTTGTATATATATTATATTAAGATTATATAGATAGGTATATATAAAATAATCAGTAAGTATAAGCTAAGAATTGTATTATACCTATGTAATTAACCTGTATGTATTATGCTGCTAAGTATGCGACAGTTCATTTCACTGGAAGGTAATTGTTTCTGCTATGTAGTATACGCATTAATTAAATTTGTTCTTGTCGTTTATGATATATTCCAAAAAAAAAATTGAAAAACAAAAAAAAATTTCTTTGATGGTTATAAATTTCTTTGTTAAGTGACAAAATGATTTCGTAAAAAGTAATATATGAATATTTTCCATTGTTTCTATAGAATAAATTAAAATATCGTGAGATCATTTATTATTTCGAAAGTTTAAAAATTGATATTTGGAAATATCATAAGTGTTTTGTAGGAACAAATAGTCAGTCAAATAGTCAGTCATGTAGATTAGCTGATTGGAATACAATGAAGTATTGGCTGAGCTAAAACTTTAAAATAACTCAAAAAATTTTGTTTGAGCTGAAGCTCACATTGTCGTGATGGAGAATGATCTTTTTTGGACGATATGTTTTCTTTAATTCTCCCAAGACTCCGGAAAACAAATGGTTGTGAACCACTCAGAATTGAGCGTTGTTTAGGTAGTACAGTGAGCAGAACCCGACAAAAATTATCCGCCGACGAAGCAAATCCAAGAAAATGGTCGCATTTGCGACATTACCGCTTTTTCTGAAAAATCATGAGACCATTTTCTTGGATTTGCTTCGTTCGCGGATAACTTTTGTCGGGTTCTGCTCACTTTAAAAGACGCAAACAGTGTATAGCTGTTTTGTTTGAAGCTCATAGGTGTAAATCCATGATTCGTCACCTGTCACAATGTTTTAACTGTGTTTTGACCTAATTCGCCCGTATTTTCTCATTTTTAGTGAGTTGATAAATGCATTTGCCTGCATGACTGTATGTTGTTTACTAAATTTGCTACAAAAAAAGTCTAACATTTGTATAGTTGTATAGATGTATCTCTGCCGTATCGTTTACTACTTTTAAGCTTAAAAGCGTTTTCTTTGCTTTTATAAAACTAAGGTCTTTATGCCATGTTGTGCGTCATATTTTCATGAAGTTATTGCACAACTTGAAACGAATAAAAATGTTTTTAGTTTTTTTGTATACAAAGTGTTTAATTCCCTTTTCGACGATTTCAGTTATTTTTGCGCGATCTATTGATACTCTCCTGACTTCCTTGTCATCTCTTTCTATATTCAAATTCGAAACCATTTTTGTCTTTGTCTCAGGTGATATATTTGAATCCAAAAATGCAAAACCAACAAGCTCTGAGTTTAAATATCAAAAATGATTACATAATTTCTCCAAAGAAACTCTAGACATATCTTCGTTAATTTTTTCATATTCACTGCGATTAGAAAGAAGACTAAAATCTTGGGAATGAGCTTTGACTGATGACAAAGCATTAAACCATACTTTAACACAGACTTTAGTAATAAATATACATATATCGCAAAGACCATTTTCTTTAAGTAGTTGCTCAACAGATCCACTTGAGATTATAATAGATAAACGGTCCATATTTGATTTATTAAAAAGTTCTTATCGTCTTCTATTGTTATCATCTCAAGTGCATTTTTTTTTATGTTTTCATATTTTTTTATTTGTTTTTATATTGTTTTATTTGTTTTTATATTTTTTCATTTGTTTTTATATTTTTTTTATTTGTTTTTATATTATTTTATTTGTTTTTTACATTTTTGTGTTTTTTTTAATGTTTTTCTTTATAGAGCAGTTTAGAACAAAACAGTTAACAAAACTCCAATAAAATGTGCGTACATAAAAGTTAAGTACGGCTTTAGGTCAGTTGGTTGAGGAGCGCTGACTCTGAGCTTCAAATTTGGCAGAGCACGATTAAACTGATACATGCAGTATAAAAAAAAATTACTTAGGAATAATTAAATACAACAAATATTTCCAAGACAGCTGATGATGGGTACTTGGCAATACTCGAAACAGCTGTATGGTCAGCGAAAAATTCAATTAATTAAAATAATATAAAATTTTTGTTGTTGTAGCTCACAACTGTTCGAAATTTCTCTATTAAATACCACAGTTTCTGTAAAACTACAAATTGTCACTACTGTCGTATTGACACTAAAATCAAATCAAATATTTTTCTTTATATAATTTTTTTGCATATTTATTTTTGTTTCAATTGTTTCCAAACCTAAATTATATTTTCGACAGGTTAAGAAACATTTATACGATCTTTACGTTTTGCTTCTGATTTTACTATTTGAAAACGACGACATTTCTTTTCTTTTAGCATCAGTTAAATTTTGACGTAAATGAGCCATTATTTCTTTTTTTTTGTTTAATTATTAAAAATAAAAACAACACTGCACTGCGAGCATAATGACGTCATAAATCTAAAAATAACAAAGCAATGCAGTGCGAGTATGATGATGTTATAAATGTGAAAATGTGACCCGGCGCATATTACTTTTTTTTTTATAATAAAGAGAAATAATGTTAAGTACTTTTCTTTATATTCAAACCAAAGTTTGCTAACTAATCAAGTTTTTTAATTTGAATTTTGTTTCAGGAAATAACTTTACGAAAATCTGAATGTAACGAATGCTTAGGAATAACTGTTTGCTGTCCTAGATATGATAATAATTGTAGTGACATTAATTCTGGTATATATGAATTGGAGGAAGGTGGTACACTTGCTAATGTCTACATAAGTAATATACATCATGATAGTATTGCTAATCGTGATGGACGTTTGCGTCAAGGTGATTTATTATTACAAGTTAACGGTAAAGATGTTAAAAGTAAGTCGGAAGCAGAAGTACTTATAGCAGAGAATAACAACGCAGTAACGCTCTTAGTCAGTCGATGTATATATACAGTAAGTAAAGTATTTTTTGTTCTTGTATTTTAATTATATCTATTAATGTACAGGATAATATAGAAATTCATAATCAAATATTGGATACGGAAGAAGATGAAGGTGAAGAATATGATGGTAATAATGATGAAGAAGAAGATGATGATAATAATGATGACGACGATGATGATGATGATGATGAAGATGATGATGATGATTATGATGATGAATATATATACGGTGATAACATAGTCTACGAGAATAATTTTATCACTAATGACTATATAAATGTTGTTGACGGATTAAATAAAGTAATTTTGGTTGATTCAATTACAAAAAGTAAAGCAAATAATTTAAGAAAAGTGGATATGCAAAGTGATTGCAATGAAACCGTTAAAAGGAATAGCGTAGAGTCTGAATGTAATGAATTTGTGATTCCTTCTGTATCAAAAAGCAATAAAATTATGTTAGTTAAGGATTCTGTTAAAAGTTCTGTAGATTATGAGACTGAACATATTTATGAAACGATACCTGAAGACTCTGAATCAGAGCCTTTTTATTGTTCACCGTATGAGAGCCCCTCATATATTACATCGATCAATTCCTACTCATCAGCAACAGAATCTACAAAGCTTCAGCAGAAACAACGTGTGTGTCAGTGGTTAGGTATAAAACCATTTAATAGTTTAACAACAGCTCAGCAATCGATGCGTATTAGTAACATAAATTCAAGTGAAACTACAACGTCCAGAGCAGTTTCTAATAAATCTAATTCGTTTCATAGTGCATTGACAGCAGTAACTAATAAATCTTTTAATAGTGAAGGTGGGTGCGGAAAATGTTCAATTAATAACTATAGTCAAGTTGGCATCAAATGTGGGGAAGACGTGGACAATTCTTCTAGTGCTTATAATACAGGCGGATCGAATAATAGTACATCAACGACTAATTTACTATTTTGTCAAGATCAAAACAATCGTGTTGATCCAACAAATTTGGAAAACTGTCAATTGGCTGATGTTCAAAGTAGCAAGCTTCATCGGTTGCCTTCTCCTAAAGAAAGTAGCACAAAAAACAAAAGTAGAGTGGTGTTATCTAGATATGATACATCCGAAGGTAAGTTTAAATATAAATAAGTATATATAAATATAAAAAAATATAAAAACAAGCGAAAATTTAATTTTTTGCTGTGTTTTACATTCAATATTTTTTATATCAATTGTAATGCCATTAATTTTTATAATGTTATCATAATTTAGCATTTTAGATTAAATAAAATTTAAATTTTATTATTTAAAATTCTTGATTTAAATATTTTTACTTACACAGTCCATAATTAATGGTGTAACTAATCATATTTAACGTTAACTAGTGCATGAATTTCTATTATATGAGTAGTAGCCTAAGATGCAACTTGTCATTAGAGCTCTAAATTGCAATAAGGTAAAACATTGTGCTAATTTAATGTTGTTTTCTGTTAAAATTTATTTATAAAAATTCTAGTCAATAGCAATTATTCGCTTATTGTATCTAATACTTGTTTTCCAACCAAATTACTAGTAGGAAAAAATAATTGTAAAGTATATATTTTCTTTGAATGTGTAGATTAGGATGCTTAACATATTTATAAAAATTGAATACTCTGAAATAGACTTTTTATTGTTTACCATATGAGAGCCGTTTATGGATTACACCGATCTATGCCTATGCATCAGTAACAGAACTTAGAAACCTAACAAACAGAAACTACAACAGCTCATCAATAAGTTACGTGAATTTAAGTGAAATTGCAACTTCCAGTCTATTTCGAAAGCGCGTTTTACACATAAATATTTTTTGTCAGACTTTTTTGTCGTTGCTTGCTATTATACATCAAAATAGTCGACATTATTTTAAACATGCCCTAGCAAAAAAAAAAAACTACATGACAAATTCATGCATGCAATTAAACGTAAGAATATTTTGTCAAACTTTTTTGTCGTCGTTCAAAGATATTTGTCGGCGCTTGCTACTAAGCGCGTATTACATATCAAAGATTTTTGTGTCGCTTGCTATTACACAATAAAATAATCAATATTATTTTAAACACGCCCCAGCAATAAGTATAAACATTTTTTACTCATCAGTATTAAAGCAATCGGCGAAGTATCAACAGCAATTGCTATACATGATTTTATAAGTAAAAATAATTTTTTATTTATAATTTTAATTTATATATTTAATATTTTAAATATTCTTAATGATATGTTTTAGTAAATAAGAAATTTTCTCTAAATAGACAACACAAATAATATTTAAAATAAATGATATAACTCATTCATAGTTGCAACGCATCGTCTGCTAACGATACTATTTGCGCAATGAAACGAGGTTTTAGCTTCCATTTCTTAAAAAAATGAAATTTTGCATGTAAGTCGATAAAATCCGATTGTATACGAAAAAACACGAGCAAGTTTAAGAAAAAATCAAAATTTTTTGTCCAACTTCAAATGTTGCTATTACACATACAATGTTTCACAAATTTCGCATTTCACAAAAAAGTTTGACAAAAAATTCTCATGTGTATAAGCGCATAAAGGGATGGAAGCGAAGACATCGATTAAATGTATGCATGATTTTATTTTGTAGTATATTTGTTTTTGTTTTTGCTGGAGCATTTTCAAAATAATGTCAACTGTTTTGATGTGTAATAACAAGCGACGACAAAAAAGTTTAACACAAAATTCTGATGGGTAATACGCGCTTAAAAAATCTAATTTGGTACATAGTACACTGCCAACAGTAGCCATATATTTATCTTAATAGTTATAGCCAAGTTGGAATCGAATATGCAGACAATGTAGAGCTACCCGCTGTTAATTGACTTACATGCCTGAATCCAAAATAAAAATTTTGTAACTAAGATGGGTTACTCCATTCCAACACGGATTTATTATTTTCTTTAATATATCTAAAAATATCAAGCGGATAAAAAGCATAATAAGGCATGCTGTGCAATAATAGAAAAAATGCTGTGTGTTGTTCACATTTTTAAAATATGATTGACATGTTGCATTCGTGATGATTCCCGCGGAACCACCTAAATTATGCCCGTAATGATTTTAATTAGCACTCTGGGGTCGTTTATATGTAACTGCATTAAAACGTTCTCCAGCGTTCTTGTTACTATTCTTATTTTTGATTTCGATAACAAATCTAGTTAAAATCAAAAAGATTTGTATGGAAATATTGACATCTGGGGGTCGAATCCTCAAAGGTTTGTTTTTTTAATTAAATATATTAAAAATATATTAAAATTCACTTGTGTTTAGTTACAAATGAAAAACTAATCAGCAATGTTTTTGTATCGGGGAATTAAAATTGTCGATATTAATCCTTATCTATAATATTATAGTATAATAATTAATAATTAATTAATTAAATCAGATGGTTTGGTTCTCTTAAGCCGTCGTACGCGGTCTTCTGTTTAAAGGAGTGATGAAGCTTCTGTGTTGCAGTGAACTTCGATTGACATAACGGAATGTCGTACAAGTAGCTACTTAGTTGAGTTGAACTTAAGATTTAGTTCTTGCGTATGGAATTTGTTGATATGATTTGTTGGCCATCAATATACAGAGGTATATTTCTAATTTGTTTATATGTGAACACAACATGTACAGTTTTCAAGGTATTTAATTTTATATTCCATTTATTAGCCCACTCTAGCACGTGGTTGAGAGCGGTTTGAAGGTTCCTTGTTGCAATTGTTTCAGTATCCCGTATCGTCTGCAAAAGTTGCAATTGTTGTGTTATTTAAACAATGGACAGATTTTGACTCATTTGGTTTGATATGCCAATTTTTCATCCAGAGAGCAACATTGTTAAGGCAGGTTTGTAGTTTAGTGGAAGCACGAATTGGATCACTGTCAACTGATAAAATAACTGTATCGTCTGCAAATATACCGATAACACTCTCATCGGTAAGGGGAACATCCGCAGTATATAACAGATAAAGCATTGGTCACATTATGCTATCTTGAGTTACTTTTGCTCCTTTATCATGAAGTACTGTAATTTCGTTTCCATGCTTAATGAAAAAGTTCCTTGCCGAGAGGTATGATTTAATAATATTTGTGAAATATCTATAATACCGCAGTGCAATATTTCTTACCATCTATCGCACTATGGATATGTCTGACAAGTCTATGGAGTTGTTCTTTCTATTGAGCTATGTTTTTAGAATTTCCATTACTTTCGATAGGATCAGAAGTAGACTTATTGGGCGATGTGATTTGATATCTGAATAAATGCCTTCGCATTTAATTCTAAAGTATCTCAGAAAGATATGATTCAAAAAATATTGCGTACTCCATTGCCAGGATCGTTCTTATTTTATGAAAGATACCTCTGTGCTACATTTTATCGAAGGCCTGTGGTACATCACGAAAGATGGCAGAGCATACTGTTTTGTTTTCAAAGGATTTTTCGATAATATTTGTTATTCTGTGAATCTGAGAAATTGTAGAATGATTCTTTCTAAAGCCAAATTAATGAATTGGTATAACATTGTTATTTGATATGACAGAGCTTATTCTTTTTAAAATTGCTATGTCGAGTATCTTAGACATAATTGGTAGTAATGATATAGGCCTATATGATGAGACCGTGTGCGCAGGTTTTTCCGTCTTGGGAACATAATTACCTCCGACATTTTCCACATAATTGGCACATGTTTTAATTAAAGTGCAGCATTAAATATTTGCGTTGGCTTATAGATACATTTGACAGATATCTGATGTAACATTTCAGTAATAATTGTAGCAAATCCCGGCGGTTCCTTTAATTTAAGTTCAGAATTAATAATTTCTACAAGTTCTAACTCAGAGACGAGTGGAGTTAGACTATATATATTTCATATATATAGTGCAAAGATGGCTGGTCAAAAATTTTAGTTAAGGTCGTGTGCGAGTTAGGCTAAGTTGCGTTCTAAATGAGGGAAATTCTAAGTTGTTTCGATAATGTAGTGATGTGTCGATACTTAGCATATTTTCGAGTTGGCTAAGTCGAGACTAAATCGCCAGGGCTGCCATTTTAGTATTTTAATAATAATTTTCATACGTGAATTTAAATAAATGTATGAATATAGAAAATAGAAATAAAAAATAATCGTATTAAAATTATTTTATTTTTATTTGTTTTATTTATATTAAAAAAAATAAATCATCGTTATTAGAAAACTTTTAACCGAAAAGTAATGCTTTTTACTTATATTTTTCATTATTTAATGACCATTTGCAATAAATTTTGTAAATAACTGTATTTTGTAAAATTTTTATTATTTTCACTAGCGGACCCGACAGGCTTCGTTCTGTCAAACAGATTTAGAATGTGACAGTTTTGTGTTCCTACCTATTTTATAGTCGGGGTAAAAAAATCTCCACAACAGAACAGTTCTCTTCCAAGAACTTTGGCCACCCTTCTGGGATCCACTAAAAAACCCCGAAATCCAGGCGTTGTTAAGTTATGCGCTTACCAACACATTTTTCGATTCATTTTTATATATAAGATTATATATTATAAACATTTATTTGATAAAATTTAATTATAGTGGCTGTTTCCAAAAAATCTTGAATTTCTTTTTGTTGGCAATATTGTTTTGGTAATTTTTGACATTTGAATAATTTTGTTTGTGTTCAACATTGTTTGTAAACAATTTATATATTGAAAAGGTAAAACAACTTGATCCTCTATGGCAGCTGTTATGCCTAATGTCCCTCGACAATAAATGCACACAGATTGAGTAATTTAAAATTACTAACTTTTCTAGAAAGTTGTTTCTTTATTTATACAAAATTATATTACAACTAACTTAACTAATTTCCTATCAAGGTTGAAATAATATGTTGTCAGTTATCGCTATTTTTAGTGGATTGTATTATTTTTTAATTACATTTTATTGTTTTTTTGCAAAAAGGTTCAAAAAGGGATACAAGGACGGAAGTCCCGGTACTTGGGATTATTCCTTCTGTCTTTTTCACATATATTTTCATAATTGTAATTAGATACGGTGCCTTGTATTTATAATCAGTAATACAATTTATCTATACAAAAGTATTTAAGGAAATAATGGAATTTCC